AGACAGGAACCGAGGAGTTCCCAGCGCCTCTCACTCAGCGACATTAGTGGTATTTAAGGACCAGTAGGGGTTGAGCAGAGGCGCTATAATCAAACATATTTGGCTTGAGTGGAGAATCTGGCTATTGCCAGGACTCCAATATATATTTATTAACAAAAGGTCTCTCGGCCACTGCCGCTTCAACCTTCAAGGATGATAGTAGGGATGGGTGGAGCTAGATAGGGATTAAGCAAGGGGATTTGGATGATATGTAAGGTTCTGATGAAATTTAGAAAATTTGTATGGGATGATTTCTAGGATATATGAGATATTAAGGTCATGGTAAAGAGTTTTGTTGGTTACATTGAATGGAGCACCAACTACTGTTCGAATAATTTATTTTAATATTTATTTATAACCTTTCACAAACTTTAAATAAAGTGAAATATGATGAAATACAATCTATAGAATATTAGAAAACTATTGGGGAAAAAGCGTTGGCTGGCGACATGATAAACCAAAAAAGATAACAAGTCCGAATCTCGTAGCCGGAGGACTCATAATTCTAGTATTAATTCCTCACCTTCTCCTCTGTCCCTGGAAATAGTCCCCTTAACTGAAAAGAATAAAAAGAAATTAATTAGAGAAATGTACTGAGCACAATAAAGGAACAATTAAAAATCTCAACCGTTAAAACGTTTAGATACTTCAAACAGGAATTTATTTTTTATTTTGAAGACTTTAATAGCAATAACAAGTCGAAACCGAGATCATTAATAAGGGGATTTTAAGGTCGTTTCATTAAAAATAGTCGTTTATGAATTTCTTAATGGTCATTAGAACTGCCGGAATCAAAGAAACTTCCTTCCATAACCGTCATTTTATGGATATGAAAAACGGCAATGGAGGCAGTTCAAGACTCCCAATCCGTTCCTGGTCAACGAACTCATCCATGTGATACTGATGGGGTAGTTAAATGTAATGGTTAGCTAATAAAACTTTTATAGAGCAATATACGATAGTGACGGAAAGAAATGTAGCAATTTCAAGTACTTTATAAACGATAGAAAAATAGAGGAATACGATTATTTTGAAAGGAAATTTTTATCATAATGAGTCAGTAATTTATTTAGCTCTGATGGAGACTACAGGTGGGAGAATAGTTCGAAATAAAATAATAACCAATTGAGTGCCCCATAACAAGATGATTATAATTAAATTTTGATAGTTTTGTATAGGTATGAAATTATAGACGAGGAATTGTATCTTAGTCCTTTTTTTTTTTTTTTTTTAATATTAAACAATTACAGTGTGAATGTGCTTTCTGAACACTATTATAAATGTCCTTAATTGTAAGAGATTGTAATATTTCTGTATAAATAATATATATATATATATATACGTATAAAATACCAAGAGAGAGATTTATCACTTTATTTTCATAAAAGGTTGCTGCCCAATTGTATTGGGTTGCTACAAACACAGCATACTTAATTATTAATCTTTATAGACAATTTTTAAAACTATTATAAAAATATACAATTTTAACAATGTATTTGAACATAGTACATAATATTTTATATATATATATATATATATATATATATATATATATATATATATATATATATATATATATATGTATTATTTTTATATTTTCTTTTTCTTTTTTTGAGAATTTTTTCATTCTTTACCACTCTACATTCCTTTGTTTTCCTTCTCTCCCCTTATACACGTTTCTCATATTCTCTCCTCTCTCTTCCTAACCTAATTCATAAAATTATATGAGATAATGTTACATTTCAATAAGTAATCCTTTTTGACTTCTCAAAAACCTTCGACTCTGTCAATAATAATATCGTCCTTTCCAAACTCCGAAGCCTGCACATATCGAATAGCGTTCTGAAATTGTTCCTCTCCTTTTTATCTCATCGCTCCCAGACAATTGTTATTCCTGAAAAATCTCCTTCATCGTCCCTTCAATTATCACGAGTTGTTCCTCAGGGATCCTCACTCTCTCTACCTCTGATTTTCATTTATAATACCGACCTTCCTAACTCCTTTCGTCACTCCTACTATCACTTATACGCAGAAGATCTACAAATTTACTTATCGTTCCAACCACCTGAGATGGCCGAGGCTACCCGAAGAATACAAGAGGATATTGACTGTGTCCATAGGTGGGCAGAAAAAAGTAAACTGAAGCTGAACGCAGACAAAACTAAGGAATCCTCATCGGTTTCATTCAGGAATCCAAAAAAAGGTTCATATTTATCTTGTCTTTATCGAATGCTCGCAATAAAACAAAGTCGCCTGTTAATAAAATCGCCTGATCACAATAAAACAAAGGAAAAAAAAAAAGAACCGAAAAACGCCTCCAATACATTTAGAATACTTAGATTTCTTATAAAAACGCCATATGCGCTCTGTCTAAGTAAACACGATTAGGTCAATTTCATTATAGTGAACTACCTCAAGTAGTATGAAAATATTGTATTATACAATGACACTGAACCATAATAAAAAGTGAGTCTGCAAGCAATAATAACGTCTTCAGGCCCATGGCGAAATTCGCAAAGCGAACATAGCACTGTTTGTAACTAGACTATTCACATAGATTAAATAAAAAAAATTAATGATAAATAAAAGGAAATAACATCTGAAAGTAAGAAAAAACACCCTTCTTTTCACACTCTCATTTATTTATGTGTTCTGCACTATAGCCTAATTAATACTTAATGTATTACATGTATTTTGTCATTATTCATTGTAATAAGTCTTTTGACCAGATTTGTAGTTAATATATATGAACAATACTGTTATTCTAAAGGGACCTAGTCCCAGAATAAAGATGATTTTTCTATTTCTATTTCTATAGTCATCTTTATAGTGCTCGTTCAATCCATTTTTTGGACTTCGTTCTTTGTCTAAATTTTATCGATCATTATAGATTGATCTGTAATTTACAAAAAAAAAAAATGTTTAGTTTTTCTATTATTGGAGAAGGGAGGACCCCTGTTGTACTTTACTTTATGGTCTTTCTTTCAGAGGGTTTTGTAATTTTAGACTCCAATCTATAATGATTGATAAAGTTTATACAAAGAACGAGGTCCAAAAAGTGGATTGAACGAATGTTGTAAAGATGAATATTGTGCAGAGCACCGGAAGTTCTTAAACATAAATAAATGAGACTGTAAAAAGAAGAGTGTTTTTCTTACTTTCAGAATTATTTTACAGTCTATCTATTTAAACCGAAATAATATCTTAAATCTGTATACATCGTCGGCACCATGTTAATGTAACGAATGTGGAAATCACATTTTTTAATTTCGCTGGTTATATATATATATATAGAATAGAATAGAATAGAAGACTCAACTTTATTCTGGGACAAAGTCCCTTGAGAATAACAATATTGTACATAAAAATTAACATAATATCTGGCCAAAATGCATATTACAATGAAAAAAAACACACAAAAAAAAACCAACTAAAAAATAAGTAATAACAGAAGGATTTACATAACTATGCTGATATATTAAAGACATAATATGAGCAATAAGGTTCTAATACTGCAAGATAGTTACTAAAAATAATAAAGTATGGAATTTTAAGTGAAATTTGAAATGAATGACAAATTACTTTTGTTGTCATATCATTGTATTAATGAAAAAAATAATAATAAAAGAGTGGATAAATATTTACTTAAAATGATTTACATATGTTCAAAGAATACAATAGTAGTATTGTAAACATTATACAAGTACTATATAATCTAAATCCTAAGATGTAGATTGATCGGTGAAAATAAACGAAAATATACATATAGACGAGATTATATACAAAAAATATACATGATGAATGGCTACCCAGCGTCTGATTTAATTGTAAGAAGGAATTGGAATAAGAGGGTTTTAAATGGGGGTTTTAATGGATAAGGATGGTGCATGCCGGATTTTAAGTGGGATGGAATTCCAAAAGGTGGTGGAGCGGACAATAAAGGAGTGTTGAATATATATATATATATATATATATATATATATATATATATATACATAGTATGCTCACCTAGTGGCAAAATATCGAATCTGAACGGCGACCGGAAGAGCGGAATTAGTTTTGTAATTTTTACGAATGCATGTGTAGCTGTGTTTAATGTAGACATTGTAGTAACCAATAATCATGATCGAAAGTTTACATCAAACAATTTCACGTTCATTACTTAGCATATGACAAACGACATATTTAAATATAGATATAATCTTTTTTAGAGAGTTAATTTTGTTTTCTTTCAGTATTCTTTTAAATACATTATAGGGTAATTTTCTGTCGCGATGATGTTTGAAATATCGAAGTTTGTTTGTTTCTTTCGATGTCGAGGCGCAAAACATCCAGGTGATCAGCGCCCGATCAATTAAATAACACTACTTCTATTCTGTTCGGGTGGTTGGTACAAAAAAAAAAAATTAATAGAATAAAATAAATAAATAATAATAATAATAGAGACTTATCGATAATACGATAAAGATAAAATATATATGTAGATAACTAAATAAACTTAAAAAAAATAGCAATAAAATCAAAAATTAATTAATCAATGAACTTTTAAAATTAAATAAATCTACAAAGGGTCGTTAGTTATAAACTTGTCATATATGTTTTATAATTTTTTCATGGTCTAGGAACTTTCTTCTTGATTTTCCAGTGATTTCAAGAACTAAAAATTCAACTTAGCAATTAACTTAAAATTCAAAATTAATATAATTAACTAATATTATTTAATAATAATAAATAAATAATATATATATATATATATATATATATATATATGTGTAAAGAGCCTCTTCCTATAATTTCCTCCGCCTCCTATGACGATAAGGACCCCTAGAGAAGGAATTGTTCTAGAAAACTTTCTGAACTGTTCCTCGAAGGCGTTGCTTTCTACTATCCATGCCAGACTTTCTCTAATAACTGTATTTAATTATTCTAAACCCGATTAAAACGAGAGTGGTGGTTGATTGATGTACCCTTATCGGCGGGACAATGGTCCCCTTATTAGAAGAGCTAACAAAGAGCGATCTGATCGACAGGTGGTCCGCTGCCTGTCACTGAATCGCTCCGTCCAATGTCTCTGTCCCCGGGGCTACGGTATCTCTACCAGATATCGTATCTTTTTATCCAATCTTAATTTTCAATATAAAGTATGTTATAAATAATTGGTATATTAATAACATTGTAAAACAATAAAAAAGACATTTACAACTTCCTGACATTGATCCATTGAAAGATCCATTAATAAATCCTTAAAAAGAAAATGTGGAATATATAAAGTAAAGATTATTTACTCCATTATGAAGTCCCTAAAATGAAGCCATAAGTCTCTAAAATAAAGGTGAAAAATTAATAAGTTAAAAGTTTCACAGCCGTATGTTACAAGTGGATTTATCATAGTATTTAACATCCTTTAGGTATCTTTGAAAGAGATTGTGGATGATCAGTTGTTAATTGTTAGTTTAAAAACCCAAAGATTCTTTCATCATTAGAACGTTAAAAAAATATTATTAAATAATTAAAATAATCAAGTAGCTAGAAAAGAGACAAACTGATTATGATATAAATGGAAAAATCCAAATAATAAAGTCTTCCATGAGCCTCTAACATACAGGCGAAAAGTTAACTTCCAAGGTTCGCCAATTCATGTATCATTAGGAGAGCAAAAACGAGATCACGTATATGTACAATGAAAAAACAAAACTGAAAAGAAAAAAAGGTTGTGATTGACATCTCACGTAGTCGGCCAAATACATACCGAAGGAAACAGAAGGTTCTATTAACACACTTAAGGAAGGATATGTTACAAAGCATGTTAAATTAGATAAACACTCCCATTTCACAAAAAATATTATTAAAATTAGCATGCAGTAGCTACATGTTGCATATATACCTTCGAGGATTTTCTTTTGAATTTATTTTTTGTTTTGTTTATTTTTGATTTAGTTTATCTAATTTAACATGTTTTGTATAATTATATTTAAGTTAAGTTAAGGCCCACACGACAAAATGAAATGACAGACTTTAAACAAGCGACTAAAAATACTATACTCACTTTTTTCTAAATCGAAATTGAAAGTTCGACAAAAACTAAATACATACACTTTCCAACTCAAATCCATCTGGACATACGGCTCTCAGATTTACGGTTAGGCAAAAAAGACGCACTTACAAAAATTACAGTCATTTCAATCCAAAATTTAACGACTTATAACAGGAGCTCCCTGGCACGTCAACAACAAATCTTTACATAACGACTTACCACAACCAACTATAGATCAACGCATACGTATTCTCTAATCTCGTTTTCTTCTTTAACTACACGGACACACAAACAGATTTATAAATGACATGGCTAGGATTGACATGAGCATCAGGAGGAGACTAAAATGGAGCTGAATGAGAGATCTCCTCACCTAAATCAAAGAAGTAAATAATGCCCAGGAAGACGTGCTGCTGGATATATCCTTCCTGATGAATATAATGCCAACCTCTTCATCACAACACATCTGCTGATTGTCAATACCATGACTGGTGCGGATAAACAGTAAACCAGAAAAAAAATTTAAGTTAGAGTATTTTTTTTCCTTTTTATCTCTGCTAATCAGCTGTTCAACATAATCTTCCTTAAGTGTGTTAATAGAACCTTCTGTTTCCTTCAGTATGTATTTGGCCGACTAAGTGAGATGTCAATTACAACCTTTTTTTCTGTTTAGTTCTGTTTTTTCTTTGTGCATATATGTGGTCTCGTTTTTGCAGTTCTGACGATGTTCTGAATTGGCGGAACTTTGGCAGGTTAACTTTTCACTTGTAGGCTAGAGGCTCATGGATGGCGTTATGGTTTGGATTTTTCCATTTATAGTATAATTAGTTTGTCTCTTTTCTAGTTATTAGATTGTTTTAATTATTTAATACTATTTTTATTTATTTTTAACGTTCTAATGACAAAAGAATATTTGAGTTTTTCAACTAACGATATACCATTATCTCTTTCAAAGATACCTCAAATTAAGTATATAAAATATTGTGATAAATCCACCTCTGATATACGGCTGCGAAACTTGGACTCTAACCAAGACCCTAGAAAGAAATAATGAAAGATTCGAGAGAAAAATCCACCGCACGTTGAGCGGAAATATCTAGGATCAGTTAAATAACGCATGGAGGAGAAACACCTACAAAGAACTACAGACTGAAACTGATAAATCAATTGCCAGGCTATGGAGGCAAGGAGGTTAAGATAAGGAGGACATGAAGCTCGGAGCAATCCATCAGTAAGTATCTACGCCACAATGAATGCCAAGGGATCATCATATGGAAAGATCAAATAAACAATAGAGTTGCATGGAAATAACTATAAAAAAATAGTCCAAGATAAGCAGATATGGAAAAGGCGGAGGAAATATCTACAAGTCTGTAATGCTAGCAGAAAAAAATTGACTTTTCAAAGTTTAGGTGATTAAACTGAAATTATTTGAACAAAAAAAAAAAAAAAAGCACGCCTCACCTCACTTCAACAACCTAAAGCAGACTGTGCAGTTGTTGTTTTTTCATAAGTTATGACTGTGAAATCGGAGAAAAATATTATCAGGTACCTAAATTTTACCATTTTTCTTTTATGTATTTCATATTAATATCACATTTTACAGAGTACCATTCCTTGTGATTTTAAACTACTTACCACAATGATTCGTTTATATACAGCACGAGGAAATTCTGTATTGTATTTTATTTTCACAAAGTGTAAGAAATTCTTCCTTCAATGTAAGTGCTCACGTTTCGCATTCGTCAACTTTTACTTTCAAGTTGTGGAACAACAATCACGAACTTACAATTTTGTATTATATAAGTAACAAGTATATCCCATATTAAAGATTTCTTCTTCCTATTTATTACTTAAACTCAGGCATATTTTCTACATATCTTCAAATCGACTAATAAATTATAATGGATGCTAATGATGATACTTGCTTGAGAAAATATATTTCAATTCACAAAAAAATGTTTTACTTGATGTTAATATCATGATGTTATCTTGCGGAAGGATTAAGATAAAGACTTGGAAGCTTGGACGCGAGGCAAGAAGGATCAGGTGGTTGGACCACCGGCTGCGCACACAATCCGAGCTGGCACCTGCCAAGGTGCGCTATGCGCCTCAACATCTGCCTGTCACACTGGCCCTCTTATCATCTGCCATCTATCCAAACGGCTTCTAACTGTCCTTTCACGCTTACACAAGTCAAACAGCATTTAACGAAGTCATTATGACTTATAGGCATGCTACTGGGTGTAGGGGTTACATATCAGATCCTACTTATGGTAAGAAGACTCATATATTAACGATTTTGATCCTTGTATCGACACAGGACTTACATCCTTGTCAAACATATAGCCGTTTTGTCTATAAAATAAATTTAATTGACAATTTAAGAGGGGTTAACCTCCCCCCCTTTCTACTCCTCTCTTCCTTCTTTTTTTTTTTTTTTTTTTTTTAATCTATTGAGTATTACAACAATCTGTCTCTTTGACGTTGGTTATAGTAAGGCAGGACAACATCCACTCTATATGTACAAAAAATATTAAATAGAAGCAAAACAATGATCAAAAGTATATACAATAAATAATAAAATAAAATACCTAAAAATCAGAAAACTAAAACTAAGCAAAAAAAAAAACACATGCATACCTTTATACAATCAGGCAAGAGAACTCCAGGAGAACTCTGCGCTACTATCTCAACCGCATCACTGGTACTATAGCCAGCGAAGATTGATCGAGAGCACGATCCCTTCTAAAAAAGACCTACCCAAATATACATATTACCCCTGTTCTAACCAAAAAGGGCACCGTAAATTCGGTTTCCTCCAGGGCTTCTCAAGATCCGTTTATATTGTTTAATATTGCTCAATACAGCCCTGACACGTGCAATTATATTGACTCTGTTTCAATGATTTTAAGGAGCTTCTGTAAAAATAAATTGATATCAACCAGTTTGATTGACATCAATATACATAAATTATTATATTTGAAAAGAGGTTATTCAATTTTTAATTATTAATATCATTTGAAAAAAAATAGCTTGCCGAATCAAGAGGAGTTTTTCATCGTTCTCGAAGTTTATTAGGGACGGGGAGACATATGGAACCCACCGTCCTACTGAGAGGCCCTCTGCTTTTACATTACGCAAGAAACGGAATATACTTCGAATCGTATCCAACTCTTATAAAACAAGAGCTATTGCTGAGGAATCTAGAGTTCAAACAAACTAAGAAATGTCTTTCAAAGATTATTAAAAAGGTCAAAAACAATAGTTTTTTTCAAAAAAATTTAAAAGAAATCCAGTTTTGAGTTCACGTTACAAATTAGTCCGGATAGCCTTTGTTAGTAATGTGATGTTATGGCCTCAGTAGTGGAAAAAAGTCATCTTTAGTGATGAAAAAAAATTCAATCTGGATGTGCCAGATAGATTTTTATATTATTTTCATGACTTAAGAAAAGAAGAAAAAAAAAGGCGCCAAATAGGAGTGGGAAAAGTTACGGTTTGGGCACAATTTGTGACAAAAACAAAGGAAATTTGGTATCTGTTTCATCAAGGGTAAACTCAGCTGAATATAAAAATTTGTTAGAGGAATAAAAGTTGACTTTTAATGACATGTCTAAATGCACACCAGTTTTCCAGCAAGATAACACCTCAATACATTAAGCGAAACCTATTAAAGGCTGGTTTACTCGCAATAAAATTGCCAAATTAGACTGGCCTGCTGTCTCCCCAGACCTGAATATTATCGAAAATGTTTGGGGAATTCTTTCAAAAAGGGTGTACTCTGAATCAAGAAAGTTCGGAACAATCGAGGATTTGAAATCTGCAATTCTGGCTTCATGGGAACAATAACTTCAAGAAACAATCAAACGATTGTAAGATTCATTATCAAACTGAATTTTAAATTAATAAATGGTGATCGAAATAAAATGAAAATATTATGCTGAGTGCCTATGTGTCAATGCACCATTATATTATAATATATTATTATATATATATCTATAAGACATATAAACTTCATATTTTTTTAATTATACACGGACTACCAAAAAATCTTTAAAGATAATCCTGACAACTGACTCAAGCAACACCTTTGTTAAAACGATCTAGGATAGTGCGAACTATCGAAAATACGAGGTATTTTCTCAGTTACGCAATAAAAAAAAAGGTAATTGATAAAGTCTTTATATATTTTCAAAATAAAAAAACGAATTTTAGACATACTCATACACACTGTACTGCTCCAAAAACCATTTTTTACAAACCAGCGATTTCGAAATTTTTGAGCGACATAGAAAAAAAAATGATTATGTTCAATCTTAAACAGCTTAAAAAATTTAAGTTAAAATCATCTAACATTTTGTATAAATCCAACAGAAAGCGAATTATTGAGCTTTAAAAATATATCCATTTCAATTTCTTCATAATAGTGCTCTCTTAGTTTTGAACGGAAGGATTTTGAACTCCATTTTTAAGCTCGTCCAGAAAATTTGTTTTCTTTAAAGATAATTACCATACAATAAATAGCTGCCCTAGGTACGTATAATTTAAGAAGGTGGTTTCTGTACAATCATCAGTTAAGCTCAGTTAAAATTTTAGTTATAATGATTAATTTAGATAGAAAAAAATGGAATAAAATGTTTTTAGCTTTAAATTGAATGGTGAGTAAATATATCTAATGCAAACCAGTAATAATTAGTTTATTCTTAAAAGTGACATGTTGGTTTCAAAAGCATTTCAAGTGGAATAAGTGGTTTTTCCACACATGAGAATCCTGTCTCCGGTTTTGCTGATAAGTTGTGAAATTTTAGCGAGATAAGAAGATTAAAAAATAAATAAATAATATTTGCCAAAATAAGACCAGCTATAAAATCTTTTAACTTTATATATCCGCACGTGTCACAGATGTGAATGAAAACAGCAAATTTATCTGTCAGGAATAAAGAGAGTCCTTCAATAAAAAAAAAGACTGTGGCGAAAATATAGTCTCCCCATATTTCAAAGAGCAAAAATAAAATAAGAATCAATAATAATTATTCTACGTGAATAAATAAAATATAGCTAATAAATTCAATTAAGAAATAACAAAAGTATACTAGTTGGCTAAGCTAAATCCTAAAAGTAGGTACGCAAATGTTGCTGCATTTCCTATGTTCTTATTAATGAAATTTTAGTTTATATTCAAAGATAATTATATGTAGAAACATATCCTAAGATTTGATGATTCATTCGTGATCACCCTTCCATTTTTTACTTAAATTATTATTCAAGATTTTATTTAAGATTTCGTGACAAATTTGAAGCATTGGAGTATTGAGAATTCATCTCACTACATTTAAATAAAAATAAAATATGTAATATATTCAATAGCTTTGTTAACAAGTTTTCAAATATATATAATGTTGATTATATATAATGTTGATTATAATACATATAATATAAACTCGTGAGACTTTTAGAATTTTAGAATCGATAAGATTTTAGTTTTTACAAATGCCTCTTTTTTTCTATTTTGTAAATATGTGGGGTATATTTCCATTTCGACTTAAATACATTCGTGCAAAGATAGTCAGAATAGGGTTGGACCATCAAAATTTTTGAGGTGGCACAATTTTACGAATCTAAGAATTTTTTAGAGAGGCACAGATTTATAGGGATTCGAATTTTTTAAAGATACCAAATTTTGGTAAATTTTAATTTTATAGAATTTTCAAAGCAAGAAAAAGGATAAAAATAAACTGAAATACTTTTATAATTTTACTGTAATTTACTCATTCACTTATTATACTGTCATTTAAAGAAGGGGTTGCATTCTTTTGGACAACTTGCCAGTTTTTTTACAGAAAACCATAAAAACTGATTATTGATTTATGATTTATTAGTATATATAATTAGTAAAATATTTCATAATTTATTTCTCTCTACTATTTTCCATAGTAGCAGACCACTTATTACAGCTGTAGACTACATTATCCCACCTTTAGCACAAATAGAATAAACATGCAAACTTGTTACATAAAACTTTTTGCACTAACAGTAGCGATGTGTTCATTTTTAGTTTCTATTTAGTTTTCAATGTTGATGATAGAGCAATAGCGCCAAAATAGAGCAATTCCAGTCGTTAAATGTTCGTTAAGCTTAAAATATTCGTTTAAGCTTTGACGAGTGAGTACTATGACATCCGTATTATTCTTGTTACTCAGTGTTCCATAAACGTAATCAGTAACTCCATTCAATTGAAGTGTTATTTTGGTGTGAATTAATGTTTATCATAGAAAATTAGCAAAAATTATATTATTTTCTTTTATAAAAACTTGTGAATTCCTTTTACGTGTTTAGTTTTTAAATTTTTTTGGATTACACTTATCGAATTCACTGAGGTGGGAAAATTTGAAACTCCAAAAACCACTTCTCTAATTAGAGTGTTAACTTTAAATTTCCAAATCTCTTGGAGAGGTTATATAGACGCAAAATATAATAAATCAACTCGAAAAATCGTGGGGTTAGAAGAAAATGTTGATGCCACCAAAAGTGGCTTCTTCAACACCAACTGAATTAACATAACTAAATTCAACGGTATAACTTTATTTGGTTGTATAAATTTAAGACCATGGGCTACATTCCGAATTGATCCAAAGGGCCCTGCTGAAGGTCTTAGATTTGCTTTCAGATTGCTAGAATAAATTATATAATCATCAATGAGATCATTAATGAGCATCGGGGATACATTAACGGATTAGCTCCTTAGGAACTGGTCATATTGCTATATTTCTGGACGTTTGTTTTCAATCGGAAAAAATATTCCTTCTTTTTCCTTCCATTGCTTATCATAGAATTTTTTCATAGTTTATAACTACAATTTGTTTTTATGTACCAGCAAAAGTCATCTTTTAACCAATTCTATTTTCTTCTCTTGCTAAATATTTACCAACTTGAATTTTTGTGTTTATGAAGTCTTTATATATATATATATATATATATATATATATATATATATATATATATATATTTATTTATTATTTTTGATTTTTTTTAACGGTTCAAAAGTAAAATGAATTATAATTTTATAAGACAATTCCGAGAATTATAGTATACATATAGTATACAAATTATAGTATACATTATTTTATGTGTGTTTATGTAGACATATATACATATATATTTAGATGTATAGAG